TACACCGCCCATGAGGCTACAGTCTTAAAGGGCCATGCCTGTAACACTCTGTCATGTATTAAATAATCTTTCGTATAATAATTAAAAAAAAAATAAATCTTGACATCAGTATGCGGGCCGCGAGTTTTGGACCCCTGGTATAAAGAATCGAAAAATACAATTTTTGAAACCCCAGAGCACAGCTGCAGCAGTAATCAGGATGTACAAAAGAGCCATCGTAACACTAATCAGAGCCACAGTGGCCCTCCACCTGAAACGCCACAGACAGCGCACTTCTTCCAAAGTACAGCTCTCAAAATCGGAAGAACAAGTGGTTCAATCTCACAATGGAAATTTGAATTTTAGCTTAGAACATTGCTTAATGTCAGTCTCTATATCCGTCATAAAAACCCCTCCTCACTCTTCTTCTTCGGCCTAAAACTGAAAGATCGAATGTTGCTAAAGAGCTGAAAAACAGCCTGATGAAGATTACGATCACAGGATAAATTGGTTTGGCTGAGATGGGGATGATACACAGCGTGACGCTCAACTGATTGTAAATATGGTATCTAAAAGTTTCAAGGACACCGGATGGATGTTAGACGATGTCAGACAGGGATCTTAATTGTGTACTCGAGCACTGAGGAGTAAAAACACACTGAAAAGTGAGGAGCAGTCAAAACTATCAGGTGCTGGAGATGTTGGAGATTAAATGGACTGAAAAAGGTGCACAACAGACAGCTATTTTTATACAGCATGACTCAGGAACAGAGCAGAACTCTGTTTGGATCTTGTACTGAATTTACAAAACCAAGAGAGCAGAGAGGAACAGGGAAACATTTTCTCAGGAAAGGGCAAATTGAAATAAAGACTAATACTGAGCCACCCCATCACAGGGGCAGCATTTATTGAAAAGACAGACAACCGTTTTACAATGACATAGTCATACCGCGGGGACGCTAAAACCCTTTTGTTATGTAGATGCACCAGTCAAGACCTTTTTGCTATTCTGGTTGTCCACTGTGCTTACGTCCCTCCATAAAAGAAACAGGCCTGTGCAGCCTAAAAAGGCTTCAGTGTCAGTAAAAACTTCACATGTATATATTTTGTAGGCGCACTGAGACTGCAAGGCAAAAAAAGATAAAAAGAAAGAGTCTGGCGGTAAAGTGAAAAAAGCAACCGGGGTTCCTGGTGAGTGCTGAGAGCACTCTGAGTTGTTGCAAAAACGCAGCATAAACAGTCTGCGCACAAACACACACACGAACACACACAGCCAGCCAGTTAATTGCTGGCTACCTCAAGTTAACGTCTGTTTCCGTTGGTACATTGGCTGACTCAAGCAAACGAACAGATTACACTTCAGCAAAACTGCACGAACGTGGCAAAACAAGTTTGGCTTCATTAAGGCAGTTTTACAGCACATGTTCTAAGTAAACAGAAAACCTACTATGAAGAGAGACAGTAACAATACAAAGAGGGATAAATGGTACCAAAAAGCACCACAGAACGACACAGGAAATCCTTCCTGCCTGTGCAACTCCTCCATCTAACACACGGTAAACACTGCCATAGTTACACCCTGTTTGCACACGCTCTGCAGCTAAATACCAAATGACAAAGTTCAGTCAGAGTCAAATGTCAATCATATAAATTCCACCTCTGTAATATCCTTTGTCAATATTCTTGATATTTATAATTGAGTGACTTGTATATATTAGTGCTATTTCTTAAATTTGTAAACTCTGTAACATATTCAAATAGTTTAGTCTGTTACTGTTACTGTCTTGGAGTAACCACATCATTTCCTTAAGGATTTATAAAGTATTCTTGTTATGCCTTTTGGCCAGAAGTCAGTAGTTAGTGCATAATCTGATTAAGTTACATAAGCAAAGTGATAAATAAGTTCAAAGGTAAGAAATATTATAAGTAATTCATGCTAAAAACAGTAAAAATGTGTGTGTTGGAAATTTGCTCAGAGTGAGACGTCGTTATCACAAGCGATCTTTGTATTGTATGTGCGGAAATGGGAGCGAGGGAGCGCTCTGATCATTCGCATATCTTTGACGTGTTTTCTCCGTTAATGCCGTGAAAAGTGCTTCGGCAGTATTAAAAGAGTGAACGAGTTCATGTACACGCTAAAAGTGCCCTACACGCTTGTGTCTTGGGAAACGTCTTTGTGAGTATTAATATGTTCAGAGATAACTTTTATATGTGTTTACCTGGAGGGAACTGTGATGCTAATGTAACGTACGTGTTAAGCTAGGCTAATCGGTAAGTTTGTCATTAAGATGCGTATTAGCTAGCAATTTATTTTCACTTTCTGCATATTTCAGTTACAAATAAGAAATAGCAAGGAAAAGCCTTGAGAGAGGATAAGGCTTTAAAGGATCTTCATTAAAAGCAAGAAAAGCAAGCCTTGTGTGGAAGATCTCGTCAGTGTTGCCAACTCCTTAGTAAGGAAAATCGCTATTGGCTGTCCTAAAAGTCGCTAAATGACGTCATCACCTAATTTGCATAATTGGTCATGCTAATGTAATTGTAACCTATGTTGTTGGAGAGAGAAATAACATCGTGGAAGAGACATAAAGTGAGTAAAAAAACGTCCTAAATGCATTTAGAGTTTATTTAGAACTAGAAAATTAAATTTTTTTTTGCAATTATTCTTTTTTTTAATGTCACAATTCCAACCCTGCTCCTTTACCCGGGCTTGGACCGGCAAAAGTGACCCGAAATAGGCACTCTGGTGGAGTTACTTTGTGTGTGTGTGTTTATAATTAGTTTTAAACCTGATCCACAAAACAGCATAAGAGTAAAAGAAGAACTGACTGCGTTACAGCACCCGCTGCTCGTTGAGAGTAAAAGCGATATGCGCTTTCACGTCTTTTTTTAGCGACTTTTTTTCTAAAAAAAAGTCGCTAGGGGGTCTGAAAACTCGCTCAATATAGCGACAAAGTCGCTAAGTTGGCAACACTGGATCTCGTCTATTTTGTTCGCTAGCTGTCTAGCTTCACATGGTCACGTGTCGTGAGGGCAGCATAATTCTGATTCTGATGTCATAGCAGTTTTGGGCCCAGCATGTTTCCTATAATCTGGACAAGAATATTACGTGAATCATACAGAATACTTTCAGACTATCAGTTTTAAAAAGAGAAAAGTCAAGACAAACTATACAGCCGAGATTAGGTAGAAAATGACTCCGTGTATCATTCATATCCTCCAAAACAAAAACTTAAATACAGTAAGTATATTCTGTGGAGTCTGTCATTTTAATACAGTAAATCTGTTAGTTTTGAATATTTTATAAAGAGCAGACACGTGACTCTTATACTTAAAAGCAAAAGCAAAATACTGAGGAGTCCAGGTCAACTCACCCTGTTCCAGAACATGTTGGTGGAGTTCCGCCCACAGTTCTGGTAATGCTCCTGGCAGCAGCGATCAGGAACTACTTTGTCCTTCAGGGCCTCGTGCCAGTCGGTGTATCCTATCACTCCACAGCATTTCCACTGTTAATGCCATACAAATGTCAGGTGGAAGATGAGTTAATGCTCTGTGTCCTCAGTGGCCCCCAAAAAGCTCAAACAAACTTTAATTAAAAAATTTAATTGGTCACTTTCCCTTAAAGGACAGCAAAAAAGGACTGAAGTGTACTTGGACAGCCAGTTTGGGCTTTTAAGGTCACACTAATACCACAGCTACAAGCCAGGACATACATTAGCTGGAATATCTGAATAGATTTTAGTCATTTGTGCTAACGTTTCTCATATTGTAAATGCACGGCGTTACTTACCTCTGCCTGGATGATGTTCCAGGCATTTCGCAGGCCTATGTTGTTTTCTGAGTTGTACAGAGCCAGCCCATCCTTGAGATCCTGTTTGGCATTCTCACGCACCTGGAGAGGATAAAAGAAAACAGCCTTAGTTAGAGATCTTAGTTTGGAGGGGTTGGCTTTGCAAGAACAGTCCGGTAAGTTGCACCATTCAATACGTCTTTATGTTGTCTTTATATTGCAGCAGGCAGTTGAAGCTTGGGTGTTTGTAGAGGTGCACTCGGATTATTCTACTCTTTTCAAACTGTCAGCATCCTTTTCACACAGATGCAAACAGTAGTGGCAGGTGTGCAGTTAAGTGCTTTTAGTGGACTGTGTATGACTGACGAATCATTAACGCAAAGCAATCCGACACTACAATATAAAGACATAAAATGCCAGTGCCTTCACAGTTATGGGTAACCTCTTGTCTTGTCAAATAAAAATAACTCTGCAACAGTAACGCGGACCGCTGTGTGATGTCTGACGCGTCATGTGTCGCTCACACGCCCGGCTTCAACATGCCCTTCAGCAGTGCTAGCAAATCATTTTCCTCTTGAGTGAACACCAACAATTTGCTCAGGGTTGTGCCATGTCTGAGGGAGATTAATATCTCATTCGCTGTGTTAATGAGATACAAAATCAGAGCTTTAGCTCTCCTGCAGTTTCATACGCCTGTGGGGATTTGCTAACTGCCAGGACAGATTGAGAGGCGCTTTAGATACGGGGTAATTATGACTAGAAAAATGACACGGACTGCCAGAACCACGCTGTACATCTTCACGGGCAATAAAAGTAATATCACAACAATAGGAATGCACTTAATACTTAAAGCTTAGAGTTAAAGAGTGTGATCAGGAAATCTGCACAGGACAAGAGAAGCTGCATTAGCAC